AAGGAGTCAATGACTTGAAATATACAGATTACGTTGGAAATTGTTTTAATAAACGCATTAATTGACCTTCCCATCATAGGTAACGCACATTATGGCTTTGAAAATTTTGGAAATAATTATGTAATTTTTGATAGTTTTACATATAGGCTATTTCATTTATGCGTAGTAAGTGAAAACCCCTGTATACCTTTATAATAACACGGTTCTACAATTTTGGCAATAACTGAGAGTTGGCAACACATATTTACCCTGTTTATTTCAATAACAGATGGATAGACCTACACGATTCCAAACTTTAAGTTAAATTGTTTTTTATCTGTTATCAAGTCAAGTCATTCCATTATGTAATAACTTTTGATTAGGATAAATTATACAAATAACCAGAAAAAATAACGAATATATGAATGGATAACGTACTGGTAAAACTAATATGAAAATACGTAAGATGGAATACCACAAACACCAACTACCATAATGTAATCCACGGTCAGCACGTTTATAAAAGGGACTCCGTAAAAGAAACTACCGTCCTTGTAAGTAAATTACGAGGGTGCAAAGAGGGAAATTGTGTGGGTTAGGTTGGTACATAATGTGGAGAGGGAAATCCAATTGTAGGTTGGCAACCGTGGGCGAGGCCATTGAAATGGAAATTGTAACCCGTATGTGTTACAAATGGAAATGGAAAAGATAAACTGACTGGTGAGAATAAATACGGTGACGCACATGCAAAAATGATAAGGTGGGATTGAATATAGAGCAGAGATTTGCCACAGGTTCATAATGGTATCAGAGAGAGGTAGGCACGTATGGCTGTTTAGCTGACTAAGACGAGGCGTTCCTTCTATCAGGAACAATTAACAAAAACCCAATGATAAACAGTTTGGTTGAGTAACCAAGTTATATTAAAATATTTTCACACATTGACACATTATGATAAATATTATATCAAGCTGTAACCCTGAAACGAACTAAACACATTTTGTAAAAAATTGTCATTCTTGTTGATAAAATAAGGATAATTTTAAACGAATCAAACAACTGAAAATTATAGCAAAGTTAAAAGTCTTGGGAAGTATTCACAAACGCTGCCATCGTGATTCGCATGAAGCTCGGGGGATTTCATTTGCTAATTTTATGTGTCGGGGTTATCAGAATAATGAACAGATTGTAAAATTTAACAAACATTTAGTCGACATCTGTGCACGCAAACATAGTAAGACAAGACAAGTTTAAATAAGTGAGAAGTCTACTCTTGCACTCTGCAAAATAAACGCTGAAACGTATACGCCATGATTATACGAATGCCGACTTGACAAAAACGAGCAAAACTAGGAAACCCATGGAATCACGCACGTGAATGAAGAAATCTTGGAAATTCTCCCAGAAGAGAAGACACGCTTCCCTGATAAGAAGAGAAGCATTCTGGGATGACTATGGTGATAACGGGCCATAGTCAACTCACTGATAAGATAACAGAGGTTATCTGAAACATTACACGGGTCTCCATCGAACAGCAATTGTAAGATCAGCTGATACTGCTGACATTGTAACGTCGATAATGTGATCAATTGATAAGATGAATTAAGTTGGGGTTGTATAACACAATAATTGTAAAACATTTAAAATGCTTTACAGCTCTAGACAAAATCGTTAGTTAAGATTAAAATTACGTTTCTGGATTAAATAAATAACCAAATGTTTTGTAGAATAGGGAGTTCTATAATATAGAGAACGCTCTTCTTGCCTAGGAATGCAATAGTAACTATTCTCATGACAACTGAAGACATTTTAAGCATCAAAATTTTTCCTTTAGAATTATCGTTTTCAAATTGTATCAATAATCAATTTTTTCTATTGATTTTGAATTTTATTTTATACGTCATCTTTTGATGTCCAAGAGGACGCATTTATGTTATACCATAGTCTACACAAGTAACGACTTCTCATTCCATTGTAAATGTTGAAGCTAGTTTTTCGTGTCTAGTGTCTAGTGGGGGGGGGGCACTGCCGACGAATTTTTTTCTATTATTTTAGGGTTAATTTCACGATTTGTGCTTTGGTTATGACCTGTAGGACGAAGGGCTTTTACGTGATATCATCCAAACCCGCAAAAGGCACATCTAAAGGATAAGAGCTTTAAATTTATACCCAATATGCCTATAAAATTTAATATTTAGGGGTTGATTTGATGCACTCAAAAATCCAACAAATTCTTTTAATAATATTGACACTCTTAGCACCAATCCAGGCGCTCTCACTTTTTTTATAAAATCCTGTAAAGAGTACCTACTTAAAGAACAGCAATTGAAAAAAGGATAACACACAAAACACGTTTCTAATTCAATGATTTTCAATTTAATTATATATTTTCAACAATCTACAATACCATCCAACGTAAACTAATTCAAAAAATAAGTAATTAAACAAATGGAGGGATTTGCACGTTGCATGCTCTGTTATGGACTATAAGGTAATATCTAATAATATGTAGCAGTTTGCTGTAGAAACCTATTACTGTATTTCAAAATAACATGATTGCCTCTTGTTCACACAAAACACTTTGTCAGGTCAGCCACGCCTCAAATTATCCAAGTGTAATTTACAGTCTAATGAAGATGGATGAATAACACTCAAGCGGAACAAGCTATATGGATCCAATGAGAAAAACTTTGTGCAAATTGATCCTATAATACCAATGGAAGCAATGAATAGGCTAATAATTTAGTTAAATGTTAAATTTAGTGAATTAATACTTTACGTTTGAAGCGTGGGGGACCAAAGTTCACTTTATAAAACCCTGAATAAGCGGGAAGTTCGGGTCCCGCGGAACATCGGGCCATAAGTGAGTAAATTTACCTGACGAGCGTAATTTTTTTACTCACCCTTGAGATAATTATAGTAGATACGAAACTGAAATTAATTCAGGAGAAGTATTTGTAAAACAAAATCGGGAGTGTCGTACATGAGCTTTGCTCGCTCCGCTCAACAAAAAGATCAAATAAGACCTAAACAAACTGAGAACCGTACAATAACTGTTTCTGTGACGAGGACTACCCCACGAAACTCCTAATAATGTAATATTACAAACCAAAACATTAAACTAACCAACAAACGTACATTCCGTCAATTTTGTTTTTGGAAACTTCTATATAAAAATGTCATTCCCAAACAATACTCAACAGTTTTAAGGTCCATAAATTGCAAACATCACACAATATGAAACACAGTCTTTATTTAACCAAAGCACTATCCTGAGCACATTGAGAGATCGAGAGCCCTCAAACAGAGCTTAGTTTGTTTGACTACAGTGCTAATACTGCTTTGTTCAGATAAGCTTCTTACTTCCTCCCAGGCCGTTCCCTACAGGTCGATACCATGGGCGGGGGATGGCAAGTGATAGCCTCGGGAGTAGACGGTGGAGGATGTAGAGGTGGCGAAACGAAAATCAAGTTGCAAGTCGAGTGAAATATTTTCTGAAACCGTATGTTTTTTTTTTTTTATTTAAGCGAATTTTTTATCAAAAAAATACATAGTTAAATGGACCTCGCATAGAGTGTGCTGCAGCATAAGGATTCTATTTTCTCTCTAGTTGTTATTATTGTGGTGGTTTCTGGGACATTAAAGATGCCAAAGTTTACCTACCGGACATAAATAGGTTGTTCCTTTGAGTTTGGCTAGGTTTACAACGTTGACGCATTCAATAGAAGTTGGTTTTTTACACCGAAGCAGGCTTTTGGTCGCGTGATGGATCGAAGGTGTAAGGTTATGTTGTGTAAATTTGGTTTAGAACTGAAGTACTATCTTCTACGCCTCTATTCCGTTGCGAGTCACGGGTAAAACAACTAGCGAGCGATAAAATTAAGTGTGCTGTATACAATTTTTATATTAAATCATTTTTTTAGAAAATAAACATCGTTTAGGACTAAATTCAAAATGTACCACACTTTGCCAAAGTCTGGCTAACAATTTCTGTTTTCCACTTGTAACAAAAAATCACTTCTATACTAAAACCACGCCAGCTCCGAATCATTGAATATATTCGATTATTGAATAACATCATTGAATATAATGTAACATACACTTTTTAAATAGTGGGTCATCACGCTTAAAGCCTACAAAAATAAACTGAATTCACAACCCTTTTGCCAAAGTCTAGCTTTCCATTTCCACTTCCCATTTGTAACACGATAGTTGTAAGCCAAACAAGAGAAGCCCTAGGTGCGGTGTTGGGCGTTGATGGATACGACCTTTACAGCTTATTGTACGGTCAATGAGTCACACACGGCTTCTCTTGAGTCAACAGGTTGAGTTGATGACTTCTACAACAGGTGGCTGACGATTGTGTCATACTGAAAAATGTCATTCATATTATGACTCATAGTGTTGAAAGTGTAGGTGAATCAATGACGAATTAATCCTGCTCGAATTTGTTTTTGTAGTTAAAATACGTAGTAAATGATTACTGCATCCAGACTTATCGTGATAAAGTCGATCAAATGTTGTTCCCCTGACTCTTCGTAAACATAGTCTGTTCCCATAAATCCCTCCGACCAATTATACCACTTTCTCCGTCCAACCAAAATACCCCTCCCTACTCCCCTCCATTAAAATATGTTCACCTAACTCTCCTCAACCAAAATTACTTAACAATAACTTCGCTAGACCAAAATTTGTCTCACTGACTGCCCTCAACTAAAGTTTGATCACTGACTCCTCTGGACCAAAATTGTGTTTTCCAGGCTTCCCTCGACCGGAATTTGCTTCTAGGTTTTCCACACTGAAGACACTATCGACGGGAGAACTGATGACTTCGCTAGACCAAAATTTATCTCACTGACTGCCTTCAACTTCACTGACTCCTCTAAACCAAAAGTAGGCCTATGTTCCTTTGGCTTCCCTCGCCCTGAACTTGCTACTAGAATTTCCTCACTGAAGACACCATTTAACAGAATAACTATAATCTATACTGTACTACAGTTTATTATTCTCTGTAGACTAACCTCTCTCTCGTTGTTTCCGAAGGCGATGCCGAGCGTTGGCATGGCTCTCAATATGGCTACTAGAGACTGTATAGTATTGCTGTACACCACTGGTCTGTACTGCTTGAAGTCTTCCGACGTGAATCCGCTCTCGTGGATGATCCTGGAAACAAACAAATTGGTCAGGAACAAGTAGTAAAAATATATCATAATAAATATTAACTCAGAATACCGGTAGATGGACAATAAATTTATTGTTATTAGGTTGAGGTTAAAATAGGTTAAGGTTGAGATATGTTGGGTAGGAATAGCTTTAATTACATGTGCTCATTTGAATGATCATAGAAATAATCTAATAGAATTGGAAAATTACAGTAGAGGTCAAAAAGTTGGTTTTGATATTTGCCTCGATGAATATTATGATAGGTTAGGTTGGGTTGTTTGAAGTTACATAAGGTTGGGTTGAATGAAGTAAATGATCCAGCAAATAATCGAAAATAAAGTTTTGCGAGAAGAGTCAATAGATGACATACATTCAAATACTCCACCTGAGGTTACAAAGTAAAACTTCATATAACAACCGACATAACACTTAACATTCATGTCCATTCACGCACAAGTTATTAACAATATCGGATTAGCCACGAGTGCAGTACGAGCCGCCCAAACAAACCACGTTATAAATACACACACACACACACACGCCGTTCCGATTATTGTAAATAGTCTTCTATTCCCATCTTTCCGCTCGTTTTTAACTAAATAAGAATCCTGACAGAATTTCAACAAGGGTGGTCTAAACTAAAATATCGTCTTGCTACTTGTACAAGATTTTCAGCCATTTTTATCGTTTAGTTAATTCTAAATCAAGTCTGCAGAAGTTTATAGTACCAATACTATTCCTTGTGGAGTGTTTCAAATACTGTGGCACAACTAGTGAATTACCTCTTTGCATGTAAAGTTTCCAGCATTTCCTCCCACCACTATTACCCCATTAGTATATAACAGCCAGTTATCCTGATCACGTGTCGCTCGTCGCGTTCCCATGGTAACCAGGAACGTGATGATGTAAATAACGCGACAACGTGACGTCACGCACCCTAAACGTGAGTCGGTGACGTCATTTGGATCACCTGACACCTGACTTCGTCTGGTGCGGCGGGATCAAAAACCTATGTCCAATCGTCAAAACAATCAGCTGATTGACATTTATTAAACGTTTACAAACTATATGAATTGTTTAGTGTATTTCACAACAATCAGCTGATTGACATTTATTAAACGTTTACAAACTATATGAATTGTTTAGTGTATTTCACAACAATCAGCTGATTGACATTTATTAAACGTTTACAAACTATATGAATTGTTTAGTGTATTTCACAACAATCAGCTGATTGACATTTATTAAACGTTTACAAACTATATGAATTGTTTAGTGTATTTCACAACAATCAGCTGATTGACATTTCTTTCATTATTAAACGTTTACAAACTATATGAATTGTTTAGTGTATTTCACAACAATCAGCTGATTGACATTTCTTTCATTATTAAACGTTTACAAACTATATGAATTGTTTAGTGTATTTCACAACAATCAGCTGATTGACATTTATTAAACGTTTACAAACTATATGAATTGTTTAGTGTATTTCACAACAATCAGCTGATTGACATTTATTAAACGTTTACAAACTATATGAATTGTTTAGTGTATTTCACAACAATCAGCTGATTGACATTTCTTTCATTATTAAACGTTTACAAACTATATGAATTGTATAGTGTATTTCACAACAATCAGCTGATTGACATTTCTTTCATTATTAAACGTTTACAAACTATATGAATTGTTTAGTGTATTTCACAACAATCAGCTGATTGACATTTCTTTCATTATTAAACGTTTACAAACTATATGAATTGTTTAGTGTATTTCACAACAATCAGCTGATTGACATTTCTTTCATTATTAAACGTTTACAAACTATATGAATTGTTTAGTGTATTTCACAACAATCAGCTGATTGACATTTATTAAACGTTTACAAACTATATGAATTGTATAGTGTATTTCACAACAATCAGCTGATTGACATTTCTTTCATTATTAAACGTTTACAAACTATATGAATTGTTTAGTGTATTTCACAACAATCAGCTGATTGACATTTATTAAACGTTTACAAACTATATGAATTGTTTAGTGTATTTCACAACAATCAGCTGATTGACATTTATTAAACGTTTACAAACTATATGAATTGTATAGTGTATTTCACAACAATCAGCTGATTGACATTTCTTTCATTATTAAACGTTTACAAACTATATGAATTGTTTAGTGTATTTCACAACAATCAGCTGATTGACATTTCTTTCATTATTAAACGTTTACAAACTATATGAATTGTTTAGTGTATTTCACAACAATCAGCTGATTGACATTTATTAAACGTTTACAAACTATATGAATTGTATAGTGTATTTCACAACAATCAGCTGATTGACATTTCTTTCATTATTAAACGTTTACAAACTATATGAATTGTTTAGTGTATTTCACAACAATCAGCTGATTGACATTTCATTATTAAACGTTTACAAACTACATGAATTGTATGGTGTATTTTTTTTCTTCAATTTTCGAAACAATTATAGACATGTAGTTGATGTGGTCATTGAGTCCTGAAATTACATTACTCTAATCTGATCCTGTCGTTGGGTTTTAGACTCGATTCACTCTCGACAGAACTGACAAGTGCGCGATGAGTCATTAATTAAAAGTGACAACTCCTACGTCATCGTCTGCGTTGTTATCAAATGTTGAGTTGGAATTGTTAGAGCATTTGATGCGAATGATAAGTTTTTTTAATTTCGTAAAATTTCTTTTTTAATTAATACTACGACACAAAACTAACTGCGTTGTTCAGAATAAATCGAATAAATACACTGAAAAAATTATAAACGATAGTGAAATCATCTAAAAATCATTTGTGTTGTTAATGATTTGAGGCGGTGTGGTCCTGTAGCACCGAATGTTAAAGCATAGACAAAAGATACCTGTCTGTGTGGTTAAGCGTGGGATGCAAAATACGTCCTAGACTACCGTATCCCATAGCTCCGAATTCTTTTGGCACGTCAGGACGTGTTAAAATTATTTCGGCACTATAAGACGTTTTTTGTAAATATTTCGCTGCTAATATATTTTGTAAGTGTCAAATCGAGGGCGAAGAAACTTCCAATGTGTATTAACGTTACAACATTTTACTACACATGAAAATATAGACAAAGCACTGCAGTTGTTTGTAAGAAAGAGACCAGTCTTCTAGTCTACAAAAGTTCTTCAGGTATTTTAAGGCCTACATGGGAGAAATTGTTAAACGAAAGAACCCTACGAGTCTTAACAAGTCTCTTGCAAATATTACAATCCTTTAATACAGTTTTCACACATTTTGAGTAATTTTTCACAACGCTCGAGTAACCCAGATTCAATACCCATTGTCTCTAAAAACACTAAACTCCATGACTAGAAAACATCACACAACAGTTGCTAAAAAATGTTCGGTTCCATGGGGTTTATCATTCGCCATACACACGTCGGCATATAGACCGCCTGCAGTGCAAGAAAGAGAAGGAGAACCAACAAACACCATTCTCTCTCCCTAAACAAACAGGTAATGGCCACTTTGGCTAGCTTCTCGACTTGCACAGAAAAGGTTGTTAGAGTTTGTTCAACTGAATAATAACATGTCGAATATTAGTTGCGCCAATGAGTTGAAAATAGTACTGAGGCGCTAACAATGTTTTGTCAACGACGGAAATTATGTAGTTTTCCAAAAAAAGTAAGTAGTAGTATAAATGGGCAAAAAAACAATTATACAATGAGAAATAATGTGACGACGCAAGTGAGCGATTTAACTTCACGTGACTTAATCAGATTAGGTTATGGAGATCGTGTTAGGTAAGTAGATCCTACGAATATACGAAAGTCTAGAACAAAATGAGGATGATAAATGATAAATGACAAAAATAGTGATATCCTATTTCGATCAACCCGTACACTGTGATACTAGCAATATATCGAGCTCTCCGTGACATATCTCCAACAGAGATGTCTAGATCTTCGTACAAGGCGTTATAGAGCAAGTCAAGTACACAAGAAGGTAGACCTCCTGCAGTCATGGCATAATGTGACCTGTCGCTTAGTCACATGTTAGTTTCTCTGTGCCCACATGATCGTCCATGTCATAGATTCCATAGTTAGTAACGGAATTCAATATTGTTTAAAGCTCATCGAGCTATGTTACATATGTTTATTTATTTATTTTTTTATTTTATTTTACATTCCAACGGACAGCTCCATTTTGATATTTCGTACAAATTAGTGCAATCCAAACAAGACTTACTTAAAACCAGTTATACAATAATGTTGAGTGAAAAACTAAGAATTAGAATCAATTGATAACAACAAAAAAAGAGAAACGGCAACAAGATGGCAAAAAGACAGCCGTTGCAACAACACAAGGGAAAATGAACAAAACAGTTACAACAAAACAAATCAGTAAAAGCGTTACAATGTTACAATGGATATCAATGAATATGTGTTCGTGTATTAGTAGACAGAAATGATATTACATGATTTTACAGTTCTGTTAATTAATTTATATGTGGTACTAGTTAAATTTACCACTCAATAACGAATGAGGTTTGAAATTGAATTAAAAGATGTTGATTTCATGGAATCAAAATGTTTATTATTTACCTATCTGTTATATCTCTTTTATATACTTTAATACTTTAGTTTGAAATGGCATTTTAAATTTTGGTTTTTATTTGGAACTTCTTGGATCCGATTCCAAAAGCCGCAAAATGTAGTTAAACATCAGTCAAAGCTTAAGCATTCAAACAGAAACTGTTTAGTCCACCTAACTAAAAAAAAACTTGAAATCTTTCTTTATTACAGACTGTTATCCCCTGAAGTAACTATAACAGGTTCGGTAACTATTATTTCAGGAGGAGTAAACAAAGAAACTAGAAAATCTAATTTTGTGAATCGTGAAGTTATTGTCGTTCAAAAAACCACTTTTTTAACGATCCCACAAAAATATAAAACTAACTTGCCAGTCAAACTTTTATCTCACTGGACTTGTAATTCTG